CTATCCACATCCAAAGAAAGAACTATGGAATTTGAATGCAAATTAAAGCATACTATTTGCTATTTTTTTCTTCTGTTGAGTTTTGTTTCCTCTTTCTGGGGGTTCCTCCTACTGGTTCTAATTCTTACTTACAACATCACTAATGCAAAAATATGTTTAATAGGAATGGATATGTATAGCCTATATGAGACTGCACACCGTCTTGGAAAGGGAGGTGGAGAGGGAGAGGGAGAAAAATTTTGAACTCAAAAGCAAGTGATTGTTGATAAATCAAAATAAATTAACAAAAAAGAAAAAGAAAAAAAGAGAGAATCCTCTGTTTGGCATTTAAAACCCTTTACCACCTTGGCCCTTTCCTACCATGAGGCAAAATAGGAGCCACAACTGTTTTGTGACATCTTGATGTATTAACAGTATAGAAATTGCCTCAGCCACTTGGTGGCCTGACATTAGATGTTCTCAACCTCATGCAAGGACATGGTAAAGAGGAAGGTTTCAGCCTCTGTTATAATAACTACTTGATTTCCTTGGATAAGAGACCCTGCAATTTTGTCTAAAAGCATTTCTTTTACAATTGAAAAAAAAGCATTTGGTCTCTTTCCCTTGTCTCCTGGCCTTGAACAGGGAATGCTTTCTTACTCTGGTAATAAATCCTGCCAGTTGCATTCCAAATACTCCCCTTTTTGTCCCTTGGCTGATCCCTCTCCTGGGAAAAACTTTACTAAATCAATCCTAAGTTGCTGCAGAATGCTGATGATTGGGCTGTATACTCTAAACTGTATACTCTGAAAGGTTATAAAAACTAAATCTGTACCCCGGGAATCTCAATTTGCTGTTAGCAAGAGCAAATTCCTTAGCATCCTAATAAATCTCTTTAATTTCAGTCTAGGCTCCTTATCTTTGACCTCCAATCATTGGTCCCTCACTGACAGGCAGGCCTCTTCCTATCGAATCCTGTCAAGGGAATTCCCCAACACTACTTTTCCATTCTTCTTACATTTTAATCTTCTCCTCCACATACTCTAGGAGCCAGAAGCACTGGCCTTTTCCCTTTCACATGGCATTCCCTCTTCTCACAATTCTATGCCTGTTCACTAGCTGACACCCATACCTACAATGCTCTCTCTTCTCTCCTTGTCTCCTGGCTTCTGGGACTTACTTTCAAGACTCAGCTCAAATCCTACTTTCTCTGAATCCCTTTCCCAGTCTTGTCAAATGTTGTGCCTTCCAAGATCACTTAATATGTGTGTATGTGTGTGTGTGTATACACACATGTGTGTGCACACATATATATGTATGTATGTGTGTATATGTACCTGTGTGTATATGTGTATATATGTATATGTGTGTGGGTAGGGTATGTGGGGTGTTCACAGAGGACTAACACCTCTGGTGTAAGGGCTTGCTGAGTCCTTTTCAGAGCTGCTCAGCCACCTTTGGTGTCCACCTCTCACCTAGCTTTTCACCTGTGGTTCCAAGAAGTCTGTAAAACTCCATAAAATCAATATGGCAAACGGGCTAACCCAGGTTGAGGATAACCAGTAGGCCAGTGAGTTAGAGGGGTGTCTACCCCAAGCACGTGAAGACTTTCCTTAGCAGAATGGACACATAAGGACAATTTACTCCAACAGTCATGAAGGTGGCTAAAGGCAAGGTGCTATGAAGTGCTTAGAACTTGGTCAGACATCGAAGATGCCAAGGTCACCCACAGTATCCCAGGGCCAGTTGTCCTGACTTTTGTCTTGCCACTGGACTTCAATGATTCTGGAAGAGTGAGGTTGACAATGGACAACTCTGCCTCAGTTAAATCCAATTCACACCAAGTCAAAACATCACCAGTGATGTCACTGGTCCTCTTTGAAAACGAAGGATGAACAATATATGTGTATATGTATATTATATATATGAAAATATGTATTAAATATTTTTTGTGTATACATAGTTGCTTGCCTGTTGTCTCTTCCATTAGAATGGGCTACTTGAGAGCAAGGACTGTGCTTTTGTCTGTCTTTCTTTGTATCCCCAGTGCCTGGCCCATACATAGTAAACCCTTAAAAAACGTTTTATTAACTGTGACTGAATCTCTACTAGACCAACTCTCCTTTCACTAGTCACTACTCCCACACATGTATTATATCCTGTAATCATGAATATAAGCTTCTTGAGGGCAAGGACTGTCTCTCTTTTGTATTTGTATCCCTTTCCTAACAGATAAAAGACACTTAATAGCTAATAGGTAAGTCAGAAGAGATAAGACAGCCAGAGGTCCTTTTCCTTGAAGCCGTTTCTTGGTTTGGAGTGACAGTCTCTGTATCTGTGTTAACCTGAAGAATGTGTCTCTCCTTTCTCAACTGTGCCCTGAACTCTGTTAAACAGATGAACTTTGAAATGCTATATGAAATCTAGTTTCCATGCAAGACTCTAAGGCAGATGGAAGACCTAGGAGAGAAAATCCCCTTCCACTACTCTAATGCTTCCAGCCTGGACTGACTTCAGGGCTGGAAGGTTCAGTCAAGTAAAAATCTCCTGAGATATGGCCAATTATTCCCCCCAACATTTCCCCCAATAGCCAGGTTGCCCTTCTAATTCAGTGAAGGAATCTGTCCACTTGTTTGAACTTAATAAAGAGAACAAGCACATTTTTTATATTTAAACCATCTGGTTAGTATATTTAAACTTCATTACCTGTTATCTGCCCTTTACTTTCTATAACTATATCACAGACCTGGTGAAGGGGACCATAATAATTAAAGACTAACTACCTCCATTCATAATCATCCCCCATTCTCTACTCTAGTCTAGTCTCAGATAAGGTGACTCTTCTCTTCCCCAAGGCCAACCTATTTGTCTCCTTGATATCATCCCCTCCTGTTTTCTCCAGCATAGTGCCACCATAATCATTCTTTCTCTGTCTCTTCCTGTCTCAGCCTATGTCTGTCTCTCTGCTTCTTTCTGTCTCTGTCTCTCTTTACCCCTATCTGTCTCTCTCTGTGTCTCTGTCTATCTGTGTGTCATAAATCTTTATCTATCTAGTGGTTCCTTATCAGATGCCTATAAACATACCCAGGTCTTCCACATTCTTTAAAAAAAAAAAACCAAAATAACAAAAAAACCACTATCATTAGATCCTACTTCAAGCTCTAGTTCAACATCACTTTCTTTTCACAGCCAAACTCCTAGAAAAAGTTCTATCCATTGACTTCACTTCCTCTCCTAAACCTCACTTTTTAACCCTTTGCATGCTAGCTTCTGACTTCATTATCAACCAAAACTGCTCTCTCCAAAGTTACCAATGATCACTTCGTTACCAAATCTGATAGCCTTTTTTTCATTCCTTCTCAACTCTGCAGCATGTGATACTATTGACTACCTTTTCTCCCTGCTCTTCAAACTCTTTGAATCCTGTGCTCCCTTTGAAATTCTGTTGGTAACACCAGCAGATGAGGCCTATCTGACGCTTACCCTCCATCCCACCCCAACTGCTACTGCTCTGTGCCCTCCCTGTAATATATAAATATATAAATATACATATACACACACACACATATATATATAAAACCCCTCTTCATATATACATCATATATATATACATACACATGTGTATGTATGTGTGTATGTGTGTGTGTATGTATGTATTTTGCCAGTCATTGTGGACCCTCGAAGTTGAGAAGTCCTTGGTTTAAATTTCCTCTCTGAATTATTTTGTTTGTTTTTTTAGGCAATTGGGGTTAAGTGACTTGCCCAGGGTCACACAGCTAGTAAGTGTCAAGTGTTTGGTCTGAGGCTGGATCTGCCTGACTTCAGGGCCAGTCCTCTATCCACTGTGCCACCTAGCTGCCCCCCTCTCTGAATTATTTTAAAAAGTCCTCTGTGTGGGCCAGCTAGGCGGTGCAGTGGATAGAGCTCCAGCCTTGGAGTCAGGAGGACCTGAGTTCAAATTTGACCTCAGACACATGACACTTACTAGTTGTGTGACCCTGGGCAAGTCACTTAACCCCAATTGCCTCATCAAAAAAGAAAAAAAAAAGTTGTCTGTGATAGGCCGTCAATATTAAATAAGTTATTTTAAACTTCCAATGCAGGAGTAGGTGAAGAAAAAAAAATATAGATCTAGAAGTTAAATTTTCTAAAACGCTTGAGTTCAAATATTACCAAAGAGGTCCCTCTTGTGGTAAGGATATGAGTTAGCACATGTTTGTTCCTTTTTTTCTTTTAATCATTCATGTGAATGCATCATTGATGGGGAGAGACTCAGGACAACAACCTAAACTGTTCTGTTTATTAAAATGAAAGACAGATAGAAAAAGAAAGGAAGAAAGAAAGAAAGAAAGAAAGAAAGAGAGAGAGAGAGAGAGAGAGAGAGAGAAAGAAAGAAAGAAAGAAAGAAAGAAAGAAAGAAAGAAAGAAAGAAAGAAAGAAAGAAAGAAAGAAAGAAAGAAAGAAAGAAAGAAAGAAAGAAAGTTGATACCAACCCCTCACCCAGCAGACAAACTAGAGGGAACCAGTAATTCTAGCGTCCTTGCAATTCCAACGCGCTTTCACATTGACTAGTCAATTACCGATGTCTGGAGCAAGGGTAATTTACTTCTTTCCAACTTTAAAAAATAAATAGCAGATCTTGGTGGAGATCTCTCCTAATATAGGGTAGGCCAGATTTCCAAAGTGGGTAAAAGATAAGAGGGGTAATATTAATTGGTAATAAGTGGAATGGAGCCTAGCAAGGAACCTGAGAATTCCGTACAACGCGGCAGCTCCGAGCCGCAGGGAGGCTCAGGTGAACTGGGAAGGCGGCGGCAAAGGTCCAGGCCACAATGGCCCTGGCTCCGCCTACTTCGCTTGGGTCGCTGAGCTTGCGCCCAGGCGCTCTGCTGCACCCGTCGCTTCCGCTTCGGCTCGATTTCGGCTCCCTCTTCGTCTCAGACTCGGCTAACCCGCTCGAGCAAACTTCGGCTCAGGAGGCTCAGCCTCGTGCTCACTCGGCTCTGGCTGGCCTTGGACCCGGAAGAGTTAGCCGGGAGTTCCGGTGCCGGCTGCTGGGGGCGGCCATGGCTCCGCTTCTGGAATACGAGAGACAGCTGGTGCTGGAGCTGTTAGAAGCGGATGGGCTGGTGGTGTGTGCCCGCGGGCTCGGTGCCGACCGGCTCCTCTACCACTTCATCCGGCTGCACTGCCACCCGGGGTGCCTGGTGCTGGTGCTCAACACCCAGCCGGCCGAGGAGGTGCAGCCGGGGGCCGGGGCCCAGGACCCCCGAGGCTGAGGGGAGCCTTAGAGGGGGCGGGAAAGCCGGGGCGGGGGTGTGGGAAGGGTCTGCGGCAAGACCCATGGGAGCGTGAGAGGGACGGGGAGAGCCGCGGAAGGGGGCGACCCTGGGGGCGTGAGAGGGACGGGGAGAGCCGGGGAAGGGGGCGACCCTGGGGGCGTAGAGTCCCGTGAGGATGTGAGGGGGTGGTGGGTGTGAGGGGGGTGAAAAGAGGAATGGGGATGTGAGAGGAATAGGGAGACTTGGAGGTGGGAGAAGGATGGGGATATAAAGGGGATGAGGAGACGGGAGTGTGATGGGGACGGGGGTAGGAGTGGGGGTGCTCTGTACACACAAGACATATACGGTGTAAATAGTTGGTCATCTCAGAGGGGAGGCACTAGCATTAAGGGGGGACTAGGAAAGGACTCTTGTAGAAGATGGAATTTCAGGGAAGGCTGCGGTGAGGAGAGAGAGCGTTCCAGACATGGGGAACAGCCAGTGCAGACGGGAAGATGGAATGTCTCGTAAGAGGAACAGAAGGTTTTGCTAGATGGTAGAGTATGTGAAGGAAAGTAAAGTCTAAGAAATCTGGAAAGCTAGGAAGGGTCCAGGTTGTGAAGGGCTTTAAATGCTAAACAGGATTTCATGTTTGATCTTGGAGGTAATAGGGAGCTATCAGAGTTTCGTAGGAGGATGACATGTTCAGACCTGCACTTTAGGAAAATCATTTTGCTAAGTGAGTGGAAAATGGATTGGAAGGGAGAGATACTTGAAGCAGGGAAACCAAACAAGGCTAATTCAGTAGTTGAAGAATGAAGGGATGAGGGCCTGCACCAGGGTGGCAGCTTTGTGAATAGAGAGAAAATGAAATGAGAGATGTTATATAGAAAAAACAGGATTTGACAACATATGTTACGGGGAGTGAATGCAAATGAAATCTAGGATGATACCAAAGATGTGAGCCAGGGACACTAAGTACTTGGGGGGGTGAGAGGAAGTAAGATGTCCAATAGGCAATTGGTGATGTGGTACTGGAGCTCAGGAGACAGAGTAAGACTAAATACATAGGCTTTGGGGATCAGTGCATCATGCAAATCTAGGTATAAAAGGTGATCAACAATGTTAAAGGTTTTCAGACCTGTGAAAAAAGGATAAGGACTGAGAAAGAGCCATTAGATTTGACAATTAAGAAGTCATTGGAGGCAGCTAGGTGGTGCAGTGGTTAGAGCTCCAGCCTTGTAGTCAGGAGGACCTGAGTTCAAATCCAGCCTCAGACTCTTGACACTTACTAGCTGTGTTGTCCTGGGCAAGTCACTTAACCCACATTGCCTCACAAAAAGACCAAAGAAAAAAAAAAGAAGAAGAAGAAAGAAGGAAATCATTGGTAACTTTGTAGAAAGCAATTTAAGTTGAATGAAGCCAGACTACAACAGGTTTAGAAGAGAGGAAGTCTGGACACATAGTGTAAACGACTTTCTCGGTTAGTTTAACCAATAAAAGGAAAGATATAAGATGATAATTGAGTCAGGTGAGGGTTTTTTAAGCATATGGGGGAGAGGGTCTGGCAGCCTGGAAGCAGCCAGTATTTGGAGAGAGATTGAAGATTAGTGAGAGTGGGGATGGTAAAGGGGGCAAACTACAGGAGGAGTCAAGATAGAATAGGATCAATGATTCATTTAGAGGGGTTTATCTTGGCAAGGAAACACACGTATTCTTGAATATATAATGTGTAAAGGGGAATAAGGTGAAATCAGTCTAGAAATAAGTCTGGAAAAGTAGACTGGAGCCAGATCATGAAGGGCTTTAAATGCCAAACAGGAATCTTTATTTTATTTTAGAGGCCATAAGGGATCACTGAAACATCTTGCTTAGGAGAGTAGCATGGGGCTATAGCTTTGCTTATACATTCAAGTTTAATCAGTTATCCCTACAAAAGGTACCTTATAATTTTATTATCTGTAGCCATTTACAGAATGTTCAAATTAAATCATCTAATGAAATCTGATTTGGTTTAGGAGTATTTTATCAATCAACTGAAGTTAGAGGAAGTTGAACACCTTCCTCGACGTGTGACAAATGAAATTGCAAGTGGAAGTAGATATGAGGTTTATACCCAAGGTGGTGTCCTATTTGTAACAAGTCGAATTCTTGTGGTAGATTTCTTGACTGACAGAATTCCTTCAGATTTGATTACTGGTAAGAATATATTTTAAATGGTTTTTTTCTTACATTTTAAATATACAGCAAATACTTATTTGGCTATTTATATTTACTTTTGTATGCTGACCAGATTGTTAGCATTTAAAAATTCTCAGCTTCACTTGTCAAATGAAATTTCTGTCTATTGTCTTAAGAAAAATATTTTTCCAGGGGCTAGGTGGCACAGTAGATAGAGCACCAACCCTGTAGTCAGGAGGACCTGAGTTCAAATCTGGCCTCAGACACTGGATACTTAGCTGTATGACCCTGGGCAACTCAATTAAACCCGATTGCCACACCAAAAAAAAGGACAAAAAGAAAAAGAAAAATATTTTTCCTGCTTAATGAGTTTGGGATTAAACTAGTTGGTTGGCTTAAGTAGTTTTGAGAATAATGAATTTTGCTTTTAAACTAGAATGTATGTTTAAAAGTTTATTTTTCACTGAATCATCTAAGTCTTTAGTAGACTTAGAAGGGGGAGTACAGGAGCTATATTTTATACATTGTAACTCCTCAAGCTTAGTAGTCAGTGTTTGCTGAAAGCCTTCATGGGTGCTAAATTTGAGCAAACATTTATTGCCTTCTATATAAAAGAAACAGAATAATTTTTTTGTAACGAAGTATCTTAATCCATCATAAAATCTATCATTATTTATTGCTGTTTCAAAAGTTTTTTTCTTTTGTTTCTTTTAATTTTTTTTTCTGATTTTGAGTTCAAAAATAAACTAGTGACTTTGTTTATATTACCACTAGATGTCAGTATTATTCTAACAGTGACTTTCATTATTCTGACAGTGACAGTGACAGACAGAATCTGATTTGAACTAATTAGAGACAACCAAACTGAATTAATGAAATCCCAAGATCATAGCTATTTTTTTTTTTTTGCAGTACCTCAATACTGGAAGTTGTTAGTAGAGTCTTTAAGAAACCTCTTTAATGAATAACTAATACTTTGTAATCAACATAATAGCTTTGCGTGTGTTTTGGGGATGCTGTAATATTGAAGGCATATTTTTTAACATTCTCTTATAGTCTCATTGTGATTATTAATTTGACATTACTCATCACAAAGGGGCACTGTTGGCTAATTGATAGAGAGCTGCCTTTTTTCTGTTAGGAAGACCTGGCTTCAAGTCTTGTCTCTGACACACAGTAGCATGGTGACTGGGCAAGTCACTTAACCTCACGGTGCCCCTAGGCAATTCCACAGCGCTATAAATCACCCATGAACAGTCAGTCTGAATTGATGAGGAAGTTCCAGTCAGTTCCAAAAGGAGAGCTTCCTAGAAGTCTTAATTCATCCCACCACCCCACCCCATGACAAAGAGATTGTATAATGGAGGAAATTTTCACTTCTGTCCCTTTCCAAATTTGTGAGACCTGAATTCAGTTTTATTAAACTTGCAAAAATGAGGGGATAGCTAGGTGGCACAGTGGATAGAACACTGGCCCTGGAGTCAGGAGGACCTGAGTTCAAATTCGGCCTTAGCCACTTGACACCTATTAGCTTTGTGACCCTGGGCAAGTCACTTAACCCCATTGCCTAGCAAAAAAATGAAAATAAAAAGAAAAACTTGCAGAAATGAGAAAATCAGGGACATTCCAAGAGTTTAAGTATATTAAATATAAAATATATTGTTCTTCAAAAGAAAGGGTGGTATTTATTTTAATTTATATATAATCTAGATTAGAAATGCTTTGAGAGTACAGAAAATAGTGAAAAAGAGTATTGGGCTAGGATTCCCAAAACATAGATTCTAGTCTTAGCTCAAATTTGAGCAAGTCATTTATCCTCTCTGAGCCTCAGTTTCCTCAACTATAAAATTGAGATAATAATACCTGCTGTGTCTAGTTCTCAGGGTTATTGGGAAAATCAAATGAGATAGAGTGTTTGGAAATGCTTTGGAAACAGTAAAGCATTACATAAATATAATGTGATATATCTTTTTTTAAAGTTGTTTTTCATTCATGTTGGATTCCTCATGTCTTCTGGGGTTTTCGTGGCAAAGATACTAGAGTGATTTACCATTTCCTTCTTCAGCTCATTTTACAGATGAGGGAACTGAAGTAAACAATTAAGTGTCTTGCCCAAGGTCACGAAGCTAGCAAATGTCTGAGGCCAGATTTAAAGCCCAGTGCTCTATCCACTGCACCACCTAGCTACCTTGTCCTTTTTTTTTTTTTTTAACTCTATCATTAAATACACATTGTTGTTGTTCAGTTATATCCAACTCTTCATGACTCCATTTGAGATTTTCTTGGCAGAGATACTGGAATGGTTTGCCATTTCCTTCTCCAGCTCATCTTATGGATGAGGAAACTGAGGCAAACAGGATTAAGTGACTTGCCCAGGGTCACAAAGCTAGCAAGTGTCTGGGGCCAGATTTGAACACAGGTCTTTCTGACTCCAGGCCCAGCACTCTCTATCCACTACACCACCTAGCTATCCCAAAATATACATAGCAGAAGTTATTCAAATGTTAAAGCAATGTAGTTAAACTCTCATTTCGAAATGTCTTAATAAGGGGCAACTAGGTGGCTCAGTGTATAGAGCTCTGACCTTGGAGTCAGGAGGACCTAAGTTCAAATCTGTCCTCAGACATTTGTAACTTACTAGCTGTGTGACCCTGGGCAAGTCACTTAACCCCAATTGCCTTACCAGAAAAAAAAAAAGCAAAAAAAAACTTAATAATTGGGTTGTTGTAATAATGATGGCAGTAAGGACTTCTGCATTTTATTTACTCTTATCTAGCATGACATACCACAAAAGAATTGGAGACCATTTACTTTTCCTGATTATGAAATACATTTAGTGAGGGAATAGAAATGAGCTTTCCAATCTCAATTCTTTATGTTGAGCTATAAAATCTTTATTTTTCCTCTTAGGCATCTTGGTCTATAAAGCTCACAGGATCATTGACTCTTGTCAGGAAGCCTTTATTTTGCGTCTCTTTCGTCAAAAAAATAAACATGGTTTTATTAAAGCTTTCTCAGATAACGCTGTTGCCTTTGATACTGGCTTTTGTCACGTGGAAAGAGTAATGAGAAATCTTTTTGTAAGGAAGTTGTACCTGTGGCCAAGGTAAATTGCCATGTTATATGGCATATTTTTATGATTACTACTGTCTGTTATAATCACTTGTATAATAATCATTTTACATGTTAGTTTTGCATGATATTGTTACTGTTATATGTGCCAGCTAGAACATAGAAATATGAATCTGTAGTCTATACAGTTATAATACTTTGGTAACATCGAAAGGGTTTGGTTGTCAGGTCCCTTCTGTTTTCCACCAAAATTATGCTGCAGGTGGCTTGAGAGCCTCTTTTAATTTTCTTTAAAACTTTGCATGGGACCTTTAGATATCTGAAGGCCAAGATAGAGGAAAGTTTTAAGCAAAAAAATTATAGGCTTCTCCCTAGATTTGGAGGTTATTCAACAAGGCTTATTAGGCAAGAACATTTTGAAAATTTTACATAAAGTGCATTTGAGGGGCAAGGGAACAAGGGTTCCAATTTCAAGCACTTTCACAGTTAATAATGATGTATATTTTAATTGTTCAGTATGCTATTTGCAGAAAATTCCTATAACCTTTCTCTTTCCTTAGTTATGTCATATTCTACCTGCATTCATAATCATTTTACACATTAGTGAATCAACTAACATTTATTAAATGCCTAACTTGTGCCAGGCATTCTTTTGTGCTAAGCTTCTTTTGAAATACTTTTTTTTCTTTAGCTTTTAGTTTTTAGAACATTATTGAGTATTAAAACTGGAACCCATGATCTAAATGTTATAGCTATTAAAATACTAGTTTATGCTTTTTAAAATATTACTCTCCTTAGGTTTCATGTAGCAGTTAACTCGTTTTTAGAACAGCACAAGCCTGAAGTAGTTGAAATACATGTTGCCATGACTCCTGCCATGCTTGCTATCCAGACAGCTATTCTGGACATTTTGAATGCATGTCTGAAGGAATTAAAGTGCCACAATCCATCTCTTGAAGTAGAAGATCTATCTTTAGAAAATGCTATTGGAAAACCTTTTGACAAGGTATTTTATTTTTAATTACAAAATATGTTGTATTGTCGTTTTAAAGAATGAGAGATATTTTAATGCTTGAATTGTCCCTTTCAGGCATGTGTTGTTATCATTCCAGAATTGATTTAGAAGCTATTTAAAATGTAGCCCTTTTGATTTATTTGTAAACAAAACAAATAAAGTAACAATATACTGAAATCCATATATAAGGATGCTGGTATAGCAGTTTGGGTGTTGGCAAGAATACTAATGATTTGTTTGTCCTCTAATTTAAGTCTAATTAAAAGAAGAAATGATGGTGTTTTGTTATTTAACAATGTGATATTTGCTTTTACAAAAAAAAACCTGCATAGTTTAAATATGTGCAGGACAGGTAGGGGAGAATATTACATTAGGGCAACTTTATAACACTATATTCATCTGTGTTTCTCTTTTCTCTTAAGAATAAACAGAATTGGTGAGTTTTAGTGTGGAGAAAAGTGAGAGGCTGTCTTTTAAAATTACTGACTTGGTGAGAAAGGAATATTTATTTACAGGAATATTTCTTTTATCTAATAATCTTTTGTGAAAATAATAGAAGTGAATGTAATATTTTTATACCTTTCAGGTATAGTTTTTATAGTTCATTTTAATCATAGGTTAATTTTAACTAAAACATGAGTTTTAGAATATTAAGCTATATAGCTAATTTTTTATTTCCTGGTTACTATATTTTTCTTAAATGTTGGTAGGGAAAATTACTTTTAATTCCTTTATTTGAATAATCTGTTTATCATTGGAAGTAAATGTTTGGGTTAAGCAACTTCAATATTCCTCTCCTTCAGAGTATTTCATAGAAAGTCACTTAACTGGGATGTTTATGTTACAAATGTTCTATTTCCATGTGCTTTTTTAATCATTTGGTGCATGCTAATGAAAAGTACATGTATTTTCATTCATGTTGTACAAAATACAATTGATATATCTCTCTGTTGTGGGCTGGCTTGCTTTTTATCATCTCTCAGACTTGGAAAAGCTGAAGTGCTGTTTTAGGGAGCCTTTTTGTAACCAAGTCTATATATGGCCATAACTTGTCTTTTGGAGTTCTTCAAAAGAGGCGTATAACTGAAATGTTCTCCTGCCCAGTGTTCATTTGATTAAAAGCTAAAATAATGCCATGTAGTGACGGCAGTGGTAATGTTTTTTGTAAAAGTTATGTTAAACATTTTTTAGCAACTTTAAAAGAATTTATTTTTATATTGTGTATTCTTTTTATTGATATACACTGAATCAAACCTTTGCATCCCTTAAAATAAGCATTTAGGAACAGGACATAGGTAATCATTTTTATAAAGTGACTTTCTATAAAATACTTAAAGAGAATCCCTGGAAGATAGCAGAATAAGGGTTACTTAGGAATGCATTTACCCCCCCTACAACAAATAACACGTTTGTTTTCTTTTTAATTCATAAAAAGTGAGTCATTAGAAATTAATGACTGAATCACTGAAATCACTGAAACATAATAATAGATGTGATAGGTCAGGGAAGGAAGATTAGGTATTTATCTCAGTAAGGAAAGGGAAGGGTTGAACAAACTTAAGAGAGAGAATAATAGTAATAAAAGTAAACCCAAGAAGCTTTGGAAGGGGGCGGGGAAGAGGGAGGGAGAATTGGGAAGAGGAAGCAAGCAAGCAACAAGCATTTATAAGCACTTATTCTGTGCCAAGCACTGTGGCAAGCACAAGTAATTTGAAGAAAGGTAAAAAACAGTCCCTGCTCTCAAGAAGCTGACAGTCTAACGGGGCAAACAACTACAAAGAACGATGTAAAAACAAGATATATACAGGGTATGTATACATTGAAGATAATCTCTAAGATTATCTAAGGAAAAGCACTAGCATTGAGGAGGATAGGAAAAGGTTTCTTGAGGAAGGTGAGATTTTAGCTGGGAACTAGGAAGAGATTGGATTCAAATTAGTATAAGCAAAATGAATGGAAGAGACTAAATGCTAGCATAAAGGAGGAGATAAATTTGTATTTGTATGTGTGTGTGTGTGTGTGTAATTTGGTATTTTTTGGACCTATGATTTCAAAGGTATAGTGAACTGCTGGTATGGAATTTTTTCTTCCAATGAAGATCTACACCTTAGGAAGTAACTGCCTGGGGGCACCAAAAGAATAAATAATTTGTCCAGAGTCAAACAGCCAGTATAGATCAGACAGGACTTGAACCCAGATCTTCCTAACTCTAAGGCCAACTCTATCTAATATGCCATACTGCATATATATTTATATAAGTACATAGTATAAGAAAACATTTAATAATTATAACCCTAAATATTAATGGAGTAAATTTCCCAAGAAATATAAAAAAGATTAGAAGAAGGGGGAAAAGCAACAATTTTATAGAAGAAACATTGAAAACAAGGGGATAGAACAAAATCTATTCTGCTTTAGTTGACTTTTTTTTTTTTACTAGGCAGTGGGGTTAAGTGACTTGCCCAGGGTCACACAGCTGGTAAGTATTATGTGTCTGAGACCAAATTTGAACTCAGGTCCTCCTGACTCCAGGGCCAGTGCTCTATCCACCACACCACCTAGCTGCCCCAGTTGACTCTTAAAAATGTAGAGTTTGTCATTATAATCTCAGATTAGGAAATAATAAAAAAATTAAATCAAGAAAGACTGCATTGTGTTTAAAAGCCACAAAGACAATTTTAAAATAATTTTATTAAATGTATATGCACTAAATGACGTAACCGATAAATTCATAAAAGAAAAATTAAGAGAATTGCAAGAAGATTCTGATAGTAACACAATAATAGAAGAATGTTAATGTTCCTCCTTTAGACCTGGGTAAATCCAACAGAAAATTAAATAATGAAGATATTACAGATCTGATCAAATCAGTATTATTCTTGGATTACGCTATATTATAGTTGAATAAACTAGATTTGTCTAACTTTTGGTAACTTCTGAATGGAAATAATAAGACATATGTCTTAGCATGCTACAGTATCTGTGCATAAATTGATCATGTTTCAGAGCAAAGATTAATCATAAATTTTCAAAGGCGACTATAGTAAACATATCCTTTACAAATCAAAGCACAATAAATGAGTAACTTTTTAGAAAGGAAATACAAACAAAACATACAGACTGAAGTGGAGAGTAATGACATCATGAATGATTAGATCAAATAACTAATCATAGAAACAATAAATAATAATAATAACAGTAAAACAACGTACCACAACTTTTAGGACAAAACTATTGCAGGCCTTTGACGAAAATTCACATCTCTGAAAGTCCGTATTAACATAATAGAAAAAGAAAGGATCTATGGACAGAGCATGCAACTTTAAAAGACTAAGTAAACAACCTTAAAATATATATAAAGGAATCTTGAAAATCAGGAGAAATGGAGAAAATTGGAAACAAAAATTACTGTAGGGCCAATACAAAAAAAAACTTTTTGTTTATATTTAAATTATTTCTTTTTAGTATTCTTTTCTTTTTAAATTTTGAGTTGCAACTACTCTTCCTTCTACCCTTTCCCACAACTATTGCAAAGGTTCTAGGATATCAGGGTACTTTTCCTGGAAAATTTCTTGAAATATGATTTCTAGATTCTTTCTTTGATAATGGCTTTCAAGTAGACCAATAATTCTTAAATTATCTCTCCTCAATCTATTTTCTAGGTCAATTGTTTTTCTGATGAGATATTCCACATTTTCTTCTATTTTTTTATCTTTTCATCTTTTTTTTCATCTTTTGACTTTGTTTTATTATTTCTTGATGTCTCATGGAGTCATTAGCTTCCACTTGCTCAATTCTAATTTTTAAATAATTATTTTCTTCAATGAGATTTTGTGCCTCTTTTTCCATTTCACTAATTCTGCTTTGTAAAGAGTTCTTTAGTGAATTTTTGTACCTCTTTTTCCACTTGGCCAATTCTGGTTTTTTAAGATGTTATTTTCTTCAGTTTTGTGGTTGGATTTTTGTTTTTGTTTTTTGTTTTGTTTTGTTTTTTTTTGCTAGGTAATGGGGTTAAGTGATTGCCCAGGGTCACACAGCTAGTAAGTGTCAAGTGTCTTGATGTCAGATTTGAACTCAGATCCTCCTGACTCTAGGGCCAGTGCTCTATCCAGTGCAACACCTAGCTGCCCCTTCAGTTTTCTTTTTGTGCATCTTTTACCAAACTTTCTTGTGTCACTCTCATTTCTTTTTCCAATTTTTCCTCTACCACTCTTATCTGTTTCTTTAACTCTTCCAAGAATTCTTGTTGGGTTTGGATACAATTAGCATTTTTCTTTGAAGCTTTATTTGTTGCTGTTTTCACATTATTGTCTTCTGAGTTTATATCTTGGTCTTCCCTGCCTCCAAAGTAGCTGTTTATGTTCAAATTCTTTATTTGTTGCTTTCTCATTTTTCTAGCCTATTTCTTGACTTTGAACTTTATGTTTAAATTGGGCTTTGCTCACCTTGGAGTGGGGAGGCACTGTTCTAAGCTTCAGGTTTTTTCATACTGCTGTTTTTAGACCTAATTCAGGGGGTCTTCAAGTTTTTGGTTCTTCCAAGGTGGTGTGGGCCTGGGAGAGGTATGGTCACTGCTCACTTGGTCTGTACTCTGGTCTTTACCCAGGAAAGATCCCTGGTCCCCGCTACAACCACAAATGCTAGCACTCTTTGCCTTGGAACTGAGACCAGGTACCCTGCTCCCTGATGTCTAACCACCAGTGCTCCTCTCCACCTTAGAACTGCAACCCAGAACTGCATATCAGCAAGAGAATTGTGAATCAGCGCCAGCTGTACCCAATGCCAGCAAAGGACCCCTATAATGTCTTTCTGGCCAATTGTCTGACTTTTGACCTCCTTACTGTCTCTGGGCTGAGCACTCCAGAAGCTGTTGCACTTATTGCCGCCACTGCGTAACTAGGCTCTGGACAAAATTCTACTCTAGTGCCACAGACTTCCCCTGCCAACCTAAGTTTTCTTAGGCCGGAATAATGTCTCATCCTGACCTTTTG